GGGGAGTGAAAAGCAACACATGGAAAGTGGGGGAAAGTTTAAGATAAGCAAACAATGAAAGTGCAGATGATTTAAGGCATCCTCATAGTTAGCAGTATGGGGCTTAAGGTCAAGTTGTGGACTCTCGACCACTCTGTTTCCCTGTGTGGGCTCTGCTCAGTTTGCTGACTCAGCGATGAGGGCTTTGTGCCTGGCTCTGCCGGAGCCAGCGCGGTGATGGGAACGCTGGTGGATGCAGTTTGCTCTTGCACTGCTAATGCACGTGGGAAAGCTGGATGTTGATTAAAGCACAACAGACTCTAGTTAATGGACCCAGCTACAACTATATTTTGCAGGTCAGCACATTTTATCCTCGTTTTTTGTGGTTTCACTCTTCTCCACCTTATCTGTTCTCAGGCCTGAAACACGGGATCAATATCCAAATAAATTTATCCAGAGGGATGACACAGATAGATTTTACATTCTGAACACGTTATTCAATCTACCAGGTGAGTGTAATATGAGTGAACACAGGCCTGATGCAATGCCTTTGAAGCCAGTAAAGCTTTGCTAATGTCTTACTCTACTTACCTGTTCCTTTTTTTTTTGCATTAAATTTATTCTTTTGGGCACAGGAACCAAATTTAGCTGGCCATATGATGTTATCCTTGTTTTAAAATGTTGCTTTGTTTCTTTGCAGAGACCTACCTATTAGCTTGCCTAGTGGATTTCTTTACTAACTGTGACCGGTACACTAGGTGCGTATTCCCTCTGGTTCAAGGTGCTGATGGTACAGTAAGATTGTTATTACAAAAAGCAATATAGCACAGATGGAGTTGTTCTTAATATCAGTGGAGGCCCCTCAAGTGGTTTTGGTGGAGAAAAGTTCAGGCTTCTTATTCTTTTGACATTAACAGAATTTAGTGGTGACGGGATGATCTATATGTAGAGCAGAGACTGGTTATGGAGGTCTCCTTCGCAGGGTGTATTAGTATCACCATACTGACTGGCACTGGTGTTTGGGCCAGCTTCTAAGACCACACACTTATTACAGGGTGATTACAGGCACCAGACAGCTCATTTTGAACCCGTCTCTATTGGAGCCACGTTTGAACTGGTAACTGAAAGGCTAAATTTCCTCAGCCAGTTACCACAAGTCCCTCACGTCATAATTGAGGACTTTGGTCACTCAAAGGTGAAGTGCTCAGGCACAGTATGGTGTAAAAGGCTGTTTGTGCAGCATGAGTATTTACCTAGCTTTCAAATAGGTAGCAACATAAAAACAAGCTGCGGGTTGAACCGGCAAATGCAAATGCTGCTGTGCTGCTGACTCATGTCATGGGTCATCTTTGGGTATTATTTGAGTGGAAGGCAAAGGTTTAATGGGATTTTACCTGAGAGCAGAGGAACTGTTGTGCGGACAGTCCATCAGGTGAAGTATCCTTTCTCAGGACAGGTGTGATGATAGCTGTCATAATAAATACCACTCTGTTTAATCCTCTTTGATTTCTTTAATGCAAACTCTCATGGGTGTCTCAAAGATACCTCCAGAGTATCTTTGTTGGGGAAATTTCTCATGTTAACTTAAATGTTCAACACAGAAGCAGTTCCTCCTCTCAGCAGCGAGTGTTACATTTAGTTGATTTCCATGGCAGCCCCTTCTTTAGTGTTGGAAAGAGGGAGAAAGAGCAGCATTGTGCTTACATTATCAGTGCCATTCATCTATTGTAAAATACTGTAAACTGCACAGTCCCAGTCTTTTTTCCTTCTTGTAATACTGTGGGGGAGAAATAAGAGTTGCAGTCACAGAAAGCTGTAGTACTGCTATGGAGGCAGAGGCCCATAGTTAGGAACTCACATCCTAAAATTTTAAACAAACGTTTCTCTCCTTGACATGCTTCTTACCTGCTGTGATTGGCCACTACGATCTCTCCTCTTTCTCCTCACAGCTGTGAAACGGGGTTTAAAGATGGAGACCTCTTCATGTCCTTCAGGAGTATGTTCCAGGATGTCAGAGATGCTGTTGACTGGGTTCATTACAAGGTGATTGCAAAAACTCCTTGGGACGTCTGTAGTTGTAACTGAGTTAGAGAGACTGGTTTGTAACTCTTGAGTTAAGATGTGTTATTTCACTTTTGGGCAAGAGCCCCGCTTTGCCGCCTAGTGAGCAAATAATAAATTACAGTTGTATGTGAGTAAATCAAGATTTTGACTGCCCTCCTGGTAGCGGAGCATATCTGTCTTGGCTTCCTCTTCCTTTTTATTGTGCCCAGATTCTGTTTCTGTACTGTAATTCATGGGGTTTAGAATGTGATGCCATGAGGGTATTTGCACTTACAGTCCACAACTTGCGCATTGTCCTAATTATTAAAACAGCATTTTACTGTAAAAGGAGTACATTGGTACTATCTTATGTTGTCTGAAAAGTAACTGCATTAAGCAGAAAAACACATCATCTCTTCTCTTTTAAGAGAGGAGAGGCAGTTCATCTTTTTCATACAGTTGTGCACAAATTTAGAATATAATTTTGTGGGCATTAACATCTGGTTAAAGACCCGATTTTCTTGTTCTTCCTGATTCAAGAGGTCTGTTGGGGTGGGGTGGAGGACCATCACAGGAGAACTCTGCTCACAGTTGTACTTGTGGTGGTCCTTTTAGCCATGCAGAAGTCAGGACTCAGTGTTGTGTGATACATGTTGAAGTTGGCCTTTGAGTAAAGCATTATGGTCATTGTTGGAGACAGGTCGTTGACTGTCTTGTTTGGTATGGCAAATCTATTTTTTGTTTGTTTCTATTGTATTCCCTTCTGAAAGGGTTAAAATGCTGTTGAAGTGGATTATTTACCATGGTGAGGGAATCGATGGATCACAGAGTTTGTGATGGTCCCTGCTACTCAAAGCCTCTCATCTCTAGAGTCACTGGTTCAGATTCGCCCTGGTTTGTACTTTCACAGCATTTTAAAGTGTGAAAGTTGGCATTACTTTGATGTCTCTTACATCATAAGTTTCCATTACCTCACTGGGTTCTGTTGTTTCTATTTCAGGGATCGCTCAAGGAAAAGACCCTTGAGAATCTGGAAAAGTATGTGGTGAAAGATGTAAGTGTGAAGTTACTTTACTTGTGCTACGTGACATTCTGTACTGAGTAAGCAGGCAAGAAATAAACATGCTGATTTGCTTTACTAAATCACAAAACAGATAACGCTGTGATTTCTATTGTAATAACCAAAGACAAAGTGGAAAGTTCGGATGCAGCCTTTATTCTGAGCCAGTGATCCACATGATTTCGTATTCACGTGCACGTTTTTTACGTAAAATATAAAAGCCACAGGAAATGTTGTCACGGGACACAGGTGAATACACTGGCAAGCCTCGTGTTGTTTCTTTTGGTGATGAAAGCAACTGTTATTCCCTGCCCATGTTTTCTCTCCAAGAGAAATATCTCTTTTTAAAAAGCTACAGGTGAGCATCTTTCTAGACAGAAGTATTCCTTAGCCATCCAACAAAAATGTTACCTGTGTTTAACCATGAGGGACTGAGGGAAAGACCCTGAAAGACTGGCCAGCATCCAGTCTCTTGATAGCCCCAAAATGTGTGTTCAGCACATCTAATTGAGCAAGCTCCAGTGGTTCCCTTACTTTTGCCCTTTCTGGAGCATACAAGGCCCCTCTGGACCACTTACAGTATAATTATTCTTTAGTTTAGATGAGCTCTGTAGTAGAGTATCACTTTAAAGCAGTTAACCTTGTTTCTAGTTACACGCCTGCAAAATTCTTAGGAAACCGTTCTGTGAGGTAATCAGCTACTCTGGCAATGGACTGAGATTTACGATTCAATAAAAATAGCCCTAGGAATAAATTCTCCCTAATTTGAGGTTGGAATTATAATGCGCTCCAACTTGTGGCTTGCGTGAGCTCAGATTTCACCTGCCTCTGGGCCCATTTTGGGAATGGACTTGGAGCTGGAGGAGCTGCTCCAGCATGCCTGGCATGGAGCAGATCGGTGGGAGCAGCACAGGGTGCCTCGCACTGTCATTGGTAAAGGCACCGCAGTCCAGCTGAGCCCTTCCCCCTTGCCTTCCTCCCCTGGGCTCTGCTCTGGAGGGGTGTTAACATGGATGGATCAGCAGCTTTCCTGGCTCTGGCCAGTGCAAAACACATGAGTTTGCTTGCTTGATGGTTTTAATTGCTTTGTTTTGTCTGGTGGGATGATAGTTGAGAGTGTTTTGCCCATGATGAAACTCTGTAACTTTTGTGTGTGACTTGTATGTCCCTTGGCTTTCAGGGGAAGCTGCCGTTGCTGCTCAGCCGCATGAATGAAGTTGGGAAGGTGTTTCTTGTCACAAACAGCGACTATAAATACACAGATGTAAGTGCTGCTTGAATTGTTGTGTTGGTGTATAATAGAATAAGCAAAAGCCAGCTATTCATTTATATGGGTTTTGGTATGCTATCTTCTGGTGGAGAATTGGGTGTTTTCTAAGCTAGGTGTAGGATGGTTTAGTGAAAGCAGATTAGGTCTCAAGTCATCTTTTGGAGCCCTGGTTCTGTTGCTGACCTAGTATGGGCCTGCTTTAAGTCCCTCTGTGCCTCACTCAGTTCCTCAGCAATTAAAAGGCTGAAAGAGAAAGCAATACTCAGTTTAGATTTCAGCATCATTTAAAATGTAGAACTTCACTTTCAAGGGAGATAGTCTTGTGTACAGGCAGGTCACCAAAGCCATGGTCCTGAAGAGGTCTAAAAGCCAGAAAGGACTGTCTGCTGTGGTTACTTCAACTCCAGGTAAATGTCAGGATGTTGCAACACTGCTAATCCTAAGATTTGTATGCCATTGTAAAGCATTGCAAAATATACCTGAAGCAGTGTGCAGATTTCTGAGGCAAATGTCCTCTTTGATTATAAAAATTAATGATTTAATTCCTGTCACTTGAAATTCCATCCATTTGTTTTATCTCCAAATCTTATGCTGACTTTTGTGTAAATCCTGAAAATAAAGTTCTGTAACCTGAAATGATGAAAGCAGAAAAGTATGCTTTTATGAATTACACAAATGTATGTTTAAAACTCCATCTTTGAACACTTTTTTTCTGTTTTTCAGAAAATTATGACTTACTTGTTTGACTTTCCACATGGACCAAAGGTATGTGATTTCTAGACTGCAGTTCCAATAGAAACTGATGTGCCTAATTATCTGTGTAGCTGGAAAGCATTTTAATCCTGCTTCATCGGCTGCATGGGATTAGTTGCTTTAATCTGGTTAAAATGCACTTGCTGTTTTGTGTCCTATCTGAATGGGATCAAAGCAAATGCAATATAACAAAAAGAAAAGAGGCATCATCTGGTCTCAAACAATAATCTGTGTTAATGATAACATTATTTTAGTGATAACACATTTTAACTGTGGCATTTTGCAGCCACATTTCTTAGAAATCTTGCACAATGTTTTAGATGTTGTTAAAGTAACCTTGATGGAAAGGAAAGAGTTTTGTAAAACAGCAGAAACATTTCTGACTGACTGTGCCTTGACTACGGTAACTCCAAAGGTTTTAGTCACGCTCTTTCTGGTTTTCTGCGGTCCAAATTCAGCCCTGCAACTTGGAGAGAGGCTTATGAGCTGAATTTTTACTGCTTTCTCAGTCTCCCAGTGGGAGGCTCTCTCACACTCAAAAGATGTGTTTTCACACTGTGATAGCTCAAAAAACTCCTTGCTGTGGTCTTGGTCTTAGAAAGAGTGGAAGCATGGAGCAGAAAGGGCTCATGAATGCCCAGTGTCCTTTGGGCAGGGCTGTAATTCAAAGCTGTGCTCTGTGCAATAGAGTCCAGGCATTTTCCCACTCTTGGCAAATCTACCAGCGTGGCCTTGTAAGGCTGAAACCGTGAAGTCGCATGTGTCTGGACCTACGCAGGATGTCACCTTCAGAAACAGTGACAGTGGTGTCATTTACAGCATCTCTTTACACGACAGATATGGTGTGACATGGATGTTCAGCGCAGTACTCCTATCTCAAACCACATTCTCAGTCGTCAATGCTAGGCTGGGATGGGCTTGCCGCAAAAGGGGAGTGCTTTAGGAGATGGCACTAGCAACCCAGCATCATACCACAAGAAGCAAGAGCTGGGGGATTTTGATGGACCAGGTTATGGCTATGGACAATGACACTCTGGTTAAACTCCCTGTGATTGGTTGTGCTGTTCCTGATTCTGGGGTTTGTTTCTTGCCTTTGCAGCCTGGGAGTGCACATCGGCCGTGGCAGTCCTACTTCGACCTGATCTTGGTGGATGCACGAAAACCCCTTTTCTTTGGGGAAGGCACTGTGTTGCGGCAGGTGGACACGGTGAGTGGTACATGGAGAGTACCTGTACAGCTGGAAGGACTTATGCACCTCCTGTGTGGCGACTCTTAGTGGCAATGGGCAACACAGTGTTTAGACAGGACCTGCCCTAGAGATGGTGGTCTGGCCTCTTAGTGATTCCTGAGCAACTCCATCACCTGGGGCACAGAAGAACTTGAGGCTTTGCTGGCTTCCCTAACACACCATAGGTGGCAATAGAAAAGAACGTGAAAAGCCACCTCTAGGCTGCCTGGGAGTGAGAGGGAGACAACGAGTAGGGAGTATCATTAGGACAGAAAAGATCCAGACCATCAGCAATGTCTTCTTTCTTAGGTGACCGGAAAGCTGAAGATTGGTACCTACACTGGCCCATTGCAACACGGCATCGTATACTCAGGAGGTGAGGCAAGAACCCTTCTTGTCCTGTGGAGCAGCTCTGACATGTCCTCCAACCACTCCAGCTGTGACAGGACTTGTGCTGGGCGCTAGGCAAGGTTGTTTCCCAAAGCGCATTGTACTGTACCCTCTGCACACTGCAGCAGAAGCTCTCCATCATCATTGCTTCCCAATGCAGTGAAGGAATGCACCCGTTCCTCCTCAAACACCCTTTTCTTCCTTGCCAGGGAGGCTCTGGGAAGTGCCACTGCAGGGCTTCTGGTGGAGGGGGAGCTGCAGCTGGCCCAATGCAATGTTCTCCACTGTCCTTAACAGTGCTGCCACCAGTGTGGCCACACTTGGAGGGTCCTCTGAGCCAGGGAAGGGCAGTGGGTGGATGCACAGGGCTGTCTGTGATGCCCAGGGCTCCATTACTCTCACAAGGGGTGCGAGGCAGCATGGCCCCTCTGCTGCTGCCATTCATGTGGGGGTGTGCGTGGGCAAAGCTGCCCCTGGGTGAACTCCCAGGTGGGTGGCAGTGCCCCTTGCTGCCATGGCCAAGTAGGGCTGCTACATTTAGCAGTGGAGGTTTCTGGGAGGAAAATGCACCTGGTCTGTCCCTAACCCTGTCCTGAATTGAGCCACGGTTCCTTTTGGCTCCCCGTTCTAAGCCATGCCATTCTTCTCTCAGGCTCTTCGGACACAGTCTGTGACCTGCTGGGGGCCAAAGGGAAGGATATCTTGTACATTGGAGACCATATCTTTGGAGACATCCTCAAATCCAAGAAGCGCCAGGGCTGGAGGACGTTCCTGGTGATCCCCGAGCTGGCGCAGGAGCTGCATGTCTGGACAGACAAAAGCGGTCAGCAGCTGGGCAAACCCCAGGCCAGACTTTGCTCTTGCTTTCCTGGTGCTGCACCTCTGAGTAGGCATGCAGGGGAGAGATCACCCTGGCTTGCCCCTTTTCCTTTTCGCCCTTTTTCCCTGGGTCTGGGTGTTGGTGGCAGGAGCTGGGGCAGCTCTCCAGGGTCCCAGTCCTTTCCTGTGCTCTTTCCCAGGCTGCTTGTGTGTGATCAGCTAAGTGCCGACTTGGCCGGGGAAGAAGCTGCAGCTGGGTGGGGTTGAGTTGTTCCTCATCCATAACCCTGCCCCAAAAACTGCTCTCCTTCTGCCCTGTGAAGCCGTGGCTTCTCTGGTAAAAAGTATCTGACAAGACACCTGGGTTATTCTCCCTGTAATGCCAGAGCTGCTCTCCCATCTGCAGGGAGTCCCTGCTCACCAGCTGCTTCCTTCTCCTTCCTCCTGCTCCCTCTGCTGTGCTGCTGCCAAAGAGCTGTGTGTTTCCCATCCTCCAGTGCTAATGCTTTTCTCCCAGGTTTGCCCTTTGGTGTGTAAATAGGTCTGGGCGTTATGCAAGTTGCCCCATGGCTGTTTGGAAGGTTTTGGTCAGGGCTGCGAAGGTTCAGCCTCAAAAACAAATGAGGCAACGAGAAGCTAAGCCCAAAGCTCTGCCAATGGCACAGAGCACGACTGAACCCTCTCCCTGCACAGTGATGGTGAGATGCCACGCTTCTTGATGCAGTGCCCCTCCACCACCTTGCAAGGGGAACGGGCAGGATGGTGGGTTTGCTTTCAGCGCTTTTCATTTCAAGAGTTTTATTAACTTACCTTTTCCCCCTTTCTTTTCTGGATTTTCCAGCCCTTTTTGAAGAGCTGCAGAGTCTGGACATTTTCTTGGCCGAGCTGTACAAGTGAGTGTTCAAACAGTGACAACTTTATTGCTGCCTCTCCCAGCCTAGCGACAGCTAACGAGCAGCTCTGATGAAACCTTGGGGTTGGGTTAGCGGCACTGCTGCCGGAGCTTTGACTCAGGCCTGGGCTCTGTCTATGAGACCAACCTTCCCCTCCAGACCAGCCTCCCTCCCCCGAGCCCCCATTCCACAGCATCTGATTCTGAAAGGCTTTTCACACCATGTATTTACCTTCTCGCCTGTAACTAGGCATCTGGACAGTAGCAGCAATGAACGCCCTGACATCAGCTCCATCCAGAGACGCATTAAGGTACCAATCATAAAAATCCCTTTTCATCCTTTTGGATCCCAAAGGGCTTGACAACCCAACCCCACTGCTCAGCCCCGAAATGGTTTGCTCTGCCTTTGGGTGGGCACGGCAGGCTTGGCAAAGCTGTTCTGTCTTTGTGGATGCAAACGGAGGAGCTTCTCAGCTCACTGGTGTCACTGGCATTCCTAAAAGGCAGCCTGGTCTGGAATAGGGTCTCCTTCCTCATGCACACAGCAGCACTGACTGACGGTGCTCACTGCTGCAGAGCGAGGCGCTGGCACGCACAAGCTCGGAGGGGCTGTAGCCTCTGGTTCAGCCAGCCCTGGGGTGCCAGCCTGGGGCAGGTGCTGGCCCTGAACCCGCTGCTGCCTTCCCCTCTGTTAGCTGGGACTCGGCTGTGCTCTGATGCCGTGGGATACGGGCACAGGAAGCCTTGCCAGAGATCCTTGCAGACCTCATGTAGCCCCCAGCCCTCAGTGCGCTCCACTTCAGTGTTGTCGTGGCTCCGTGCTGCTGTCTGCCCGGCCCAGGATCTAACCTGCCCTTTGCTTGTAGAAAGTGACCCATGACATGGACATGTGCTACGGGATGATGGGGAGCCTCTTCCGCAGCGGCTCTCGGCAGACCCTGTTTGCCAGCCAGGTGATGCGCTACGCTGATCTCTATGCAGCCTCCTTCATCAACCTCCTCTACTACCCCTTCAGCTACCTCTTCAGAGCCGCCCATGTCCTGGTGAGTTGCAGACCCCAGGGAGGTGGGCAGAGGTCCCAAAAGTGCCTGCGCTTGTGTTTGTTAACACTTCTATAACCACAAACACCAGGAATGGCACTTTGGAGGGTTGGGTGGCATTTGATGCACCGTGGGCCAAAGGGTCACGTTCTGGGGTTTGCTCTCCATCTCGGGGACTGGGACACCCCTTGCCATCTCCTCTCTCTCTTCCATGTGTAGATGCCACATGAGTCCACGGTAGAGCACACGCACGTCGACATCAATGAGAAGGAGTCGCCGATGGCCACACGCAATCGCTCCTCAGTGGATTTTAAAGATTCCGACTACAAGCGGCATCAACTGACCCGCTCCATCAGTGAGATCAAACCGCCCAACCTCTTCCCCCAGGCACCTCAGGAAATCACACATTGCCACGATGAAGATGATGATGAGGAAGAGGAAGAGGAGGAAGAAGAGGAGGAAGAGGAAGAGGAATAAGAAGGAAAGAGCAAAGCATCTCTGAAGACAAGCCGTGACTCTAGCAGTGATCAGGAGCGAATTCCTTTGTTGGGGCCCTTGGGGTGATGGGTTGGGGGGTGTTGATTCTTGCAAAGGCACATTTTGAAAGTGTTCAGAAACTTGTAACAAATTAACACTAATTAGGAGGAGACCCTTGTTTTCAGTTTTGCAGACGGTTCAAAAAGCTGATGGATTCTGCCTGGGTGGTACATTCAGGTTGGACTGCCCGCCTGTGCTGTCATGCTGCTCCCATTACATTTAGGGGTGCTGCATGTTTCTCCCTTTCCGGTGATGTGTTTCATTTGATTTTCATTTGAATGGTGTCCTGTGAACGGTTTTTGCCAGTTGTTACATTCGTTGTAACATTTGTTGTTACATTCGTTGTGTAGAAGGAAGGGGTGTGCTGGGCCCTGCAGGAGACAAAATCATCCAAATCCTCCTGCCCATTGGTTTGCTGCCCTTAACCCTCTGCTTCCGAGCTACAAAATTCCCCCTCCCCATGTTAGCCAGGGTGTTGCTGTGGCTTCCAGCACTCAGTTTACCCTCTGCTTGGCGTGAGTTTCTCTATGTAAGTGGTTCAGTTCCTCCAGCCATCACAGATGGCAGTGGGATTCCAGCTCTTGCATATCTGCAGCCGTACACGTTTCAGCTTGTAGACGCTTGTTATCCTCTCCCAGTGTTTCCAAGCTCCCTTTCATCATCGGCATGTGACGCATGATTTCCAACGCGTTTCTCAAACAGCTGAGCCGCACACTGTGTTCTCCACTCCTGTAGTTTCAGCAGTAAATATTAACCCAGGAGCTTGAAGCTACTGCTTTAGCATTACATTAGTCGATTTGTTTTCCTGCTGCCTATTACTGACCTTTCTGTTCGCTCAGCTTTAAGAAAGTGATGCATCCCAAAGACAAACCCAGCCACCATCTGGAATGAAAGGGCCTGTTACTCCAGCATGCTGCGGGCCACGTTTATCTGCCCTAAACAGTACTTGCCACAGGGCCAGCCCTGCGGTGGGAGCCAGGCTGGCAGCTGCCCTTGTCTTTGGCCTGGTGCAGAGCAAGTTGTGGTGGGCAAAGCTGCGTCCCCAGCCAAGGAGGGTGATGGTTGCGGGCTGCCATGTGGGGACCGGAGGTGGCCGAAGGTGCCCTGCGGGGATGGGCAGTCCTTGTGCCTGAAAAGCCAGCCCGGGGAAGGCGTGGGGCCAGTGTGCAGCTGGGCAGCAGTGCCCTGCGGTTTTCCTCTAGGTCATGGGTGCAGCCTCCCTTACGCCAGCCTGTGCCGTTCGCTGTGAAGGGATTACGAGGGCCCTCTTGTAACGAATTCGACTGTTGTTTCAGTACCATAAACTCATTTAATCTTTTTTTTTTTTCCATTTTAAAGTACCTTAGGAGAAAATAAAAAAAAAAAGAAAAACCACACCAATACATCTGAGCAGGAAACACTGCTGCTGTAGTGGCAGTTGTTCAAGTCAATAAATGATGATGTTTCTAAGAAATGCCTGGCGATTTGTGGCGTGTTGCTGAGATGATGAGGGGTGTGCTGGAGGTGGCAGGGAGAGCTGGGACGGGTGCTGAGGGAGAGGGAAAGCATCTCTGGGAACTGGTTGTGTGACATGTTGCCGAGCAGTGGTTGTGGATCTGGCTTTAAGGGCTTGTCTGGTCCCTGGGTGAGCAGGAAGCGATGGTGGCAGGCGCACAAGGCTCTTGTTATCCCCATCAGCTTCAGCCAGGAGACACGGGGAGACAGAAACGTTTTGGCCTGGATTTAGAGAGTGAGGAGGGGCTTTTCCATAGTGCGAAGGGCAACACCCCCACCCTGCCACTACCTCCAACATTGCCACTCCCCACCACATATGACCCATGCCCAGGATGGCACAGGTGTCACCAGGCACTGCAGACCTGGTTAAACAGAGAAAAATACCTGGGGAAGGCCAGTGCTGCCACAGCTGTGTGTACCCTGCGCCCAGATGAGGTGAGGACAGCCCAACGGCTGTGCTCAGCCATTGCCTATAAACCAACCCCTCATATCAACCAAACCAGGCCAGATGAAGCCCCGCCATCAGAGCTACCACAGAAGGACAGCCAGTACCCAGGGCCCAAAGTGCCAAACAGAAAAGCAATGCTAAATGGCTGCAGATGGTGGCCAACAATCAACAGCCGACACTACAGGGATTGCTAAAAGCCCAAACCCAGCACTGGGTCCCTGACTCATTGATTTTTGGGGTCTGGAGAGCAGCTAACTTGTACCTCACAGGGAGGTCGGCTGCAGGAAGGGTTTGAAGGAGCTGTTCCCGAGCCCTTTCACTAAAGGCCATGCTGGGCTTTGCTATGTTTAAACCTCATTTCTCCAAGTATAGCCACTTGAATTTTTTAAGCTTTAGCTCAGCAGCTGGGAGGGCGTGCGGCTGCAGGGAGGGAGGTCTGGGGAGCTCCGTGCATTCCT